GCCTCTGGAGAGACAGGTCGGGTTTACGATCGACCTAGTGCCTGGTGCGGCCCCTGTCGCCAAGGCACCATACTAGTTGGCACCACTGGAGATCTAGGAGCTATCGTCACAGTTGCAGAAACTGCAGGGCAACCATTTCATTCGTTCGAGTAGTTCTCCGTGGGGAGCACTAATACTCTTCATGAAGAAGAAGAAGGATCGGCCACACTAGATGTGCATGGACTACCAGGAGTTAAATAAGTTAACGGTGAAGAACCGTTACCCACTCCTAATGATAGACGACCTATTTGATCAGTTATAGGGAGCATCGTGGTTCTCCAAACTTGATTTGATCAATTATAGGGAGCATCGTGGTTCTCCAAACTTGATTTGAGATCTAGGTACTATCCGGTTAGGGTGAGGGAGGAGGACGTGGAGAAGACCGCGTTCAGGACTCGTTATAGACATTACGAGTTTGTGGTGATGTCGTTCGGGCTCACCAATGCACCGACGATATTTATGGGCCTGATGAACTGGGTTTGCAGAACGATGCTCGATCGCTCAGTCATAGTGTTCATTGATGATATCTTGGTGTATTCCAAGACCTGAGAGCAGCACGAGGAGCATCTGCAGGAGTTATTGGGGGTTTTGAGGCGAGAACAGCTTTATGCCAAGTTCTCAAAGTGCGAGTTTTGGTTACGATAGGTCCAGTTCTTGGGGAATCTCGTTAACTAGGATGGGATTTTGGTTGATCCGGCCAAAATCAAGGCAGTTATGCGGTGGGAGGTTCCAAGATCTCCCTCAGACATCAGGAGCTTTTTGGGTTTGGCAGGGTACTACCGGAGGTTCATACAAGATTTCTACAAGATTGCAGTACCCCTCACTCATCTGGCGAGGAGGGGGTGGATTTTTTGTGGAGCCCTGAGCAGCAGATGGCATTTGAGATCCTTAGACAGTGATTGTGCAAGGCCCCAGTCTTGACCCTCCCCGAGGGAGTGGAGGGTTTTGTGGTATACTGTGATGCATCTATCACAGGTCTAGGAGCGGTCCCCATGTAGAGAGGATGGGTGATAGCCTACGCATCACCACAGCTGAATCCGCATAAGAAGAGATACCCCACATATAATCAAGAGTTGGGAGCAGTGGTATTCACGCTCAAGATTTGGAGACATTACCTCTATAGTGTCTGTTGTACCATCTACACGGACTAGAAGAGCTTAAGGTACATTAAGGATCAGTCAAACCTGAATATGAGGCAACGTAGGTGGCTGGATGTAGTCAAGGACTATGGTTGTGACATCCTTTACCACCCTGGTAAGTCTAACATGGTTGCGGATGCTCTGAGCCACAAGTCAGTCGGGCCTTCTACTTCAGTGACATGCATGAGGATTTTAGTGGATTCCCCACTCGTGAGCTCGATCAGGGAAGCTCAAGCAGAGGGTATGCATTGGGAGAAATGGAAATTGGAGAGGATTAAGGGTGAGAACACCCGGTTTGTGCAGGATAGCAGGGGATTGTTGACCCATTGTGGTCGGGTCTGGGTTCCGATGTCTGGTGGGGTTACACAGACTGTTCTGGAGGAGGCTCATAAGTCTCACTTTTCTATTCACCCGGGGGCCACCAAGATGTACCAGGATTTGTGTTATAGTTACTGGTGGTCGTGCATGAAGTGAGAGATTACTTGGTATGTGGAGAGGTGCCTGACCTACAAGATGGTCAAGGCTCAGCACCAGAGGCCGCATGGAAAGCTGTAGCCTCAAGAGGTTCCCATGTGGAAATGGGAGCAGATCATGATGGATTTTATCACCAAGCTGCCGAAGACGACAAAGGGTTTCAATGCCATATGGGTCATCGTGGATCGACTGACCAAGAGTGCCCATTTTCTAGCCATTCGGTAGAGCTCATCAGCCGAGAAGTTGGCAGAGGTATACATCCATGAGATTGTCGCACGTCATGGGGTTCCAGTCTCTATCGTCTCAGACCGTGATGTTCGGTTCACCTCCCGATTATGGAAGAAGTTCCACGAGGAACTGGGCACACAACTGCACTTCAATATAACCTATCATCCGCAGATGGATGACCAAAGTGAGTAGACCATACAAACTCTTGAGGACATGTTGAGAGCTTGTGTTATTAACTTCGGTGGGAGCTGGGACTCCTACCTATCCCTCACAGAGTTCTCATATAATAACAACTCTCATTCCAGTATTGGTGCCCCGCTTTATGAGCTGTTGTACGGGAGGAGATGCCGCACCCTAGTCTGTTTAGGTGAGGTGGGTCACAAAGTGATGGGTCGGACCAAGGTAGTTCTACAGACTACTGAGAGGATTCAACAGATCAGATAGCAACTGCATACCGCTCAGAGTCAGCAGAAGAGCTACGCTGAACGGCACCGATCTGAGTTGGAGTTTCAGGTCGGTGATATGGTGCTCCTGAAGGTCTTGCCCTGGAAGGGTGTGATTCGCTTCAGGAAGAAAGGAAAATTGGGTCCCCTATATATTGGGCCATTTCGAGTTATTTCTAGGTTTGGCAAGGTTGCTTATAGACTGGATCTTCTGGAGGAGCTCAGTCAGATACACAACACTTTGCACGTTTCCCAGTTGCAGAAGTTCATATTGGATGGGGATGCGGTAGTGTCGTTGGATGATGTTTAGGTTGACAAGCGCCTGAACTATGTGGAGCATCTGGTGGCTATTTTGGAAAGGAAGGTAAAGGTTCTGTGTAACAAGGAAATACCTCTGGTAAAGGTGCAGTGGTGGCATCGGAAGGGATCCGAGTGGACTTGGGAGCTAGAGTCCGAAATACGGGAGCACTACCCGGATCTATTCGCTGCAGCAGACTTCGGGGACAAAGTCTATGTTAAGTTGGGGAGAGTTGTAACATCCCGAGCTTTGCATGTCTATTTCAAATCTCTCTTCTTTTTATTATTTGTCATTTGTAGTCCATGGAGTTGGTTGAGTTGGGCCATGAGAAGTATAAGGGATAAAGTTGCAACTTTGGGTCAGAAAAGAGTATGCTGAGTGTACATAAGGGTACGCTGAGCGTACTAGGCATTTCCTAGTACGCTGGACGTACTCACATCAGGTGAAAACCCTAATATTTAGGGTTGGGGACTATATAAACACCCTTATAGCTCATTTCCTCCGATTATCCTTAGCCTCCATATCCCAGAAAGTGTTCCAAACCCTAGTTTTATATGTGAGTGTGAGTTGATGTGTATTTTGAACCTTTAAAGGTGAAGACGTTGCATCAAGTAGTTGGAGAAGGAGAAAAAGACTATAGATCTAAAGTTGTGTTGTGCCCTAGAAGCGCTATAAGGTAAAAAGCTTGGAACTTTATACTTGTATGACATACATCTAGTCATTTTAGCTTTATGGAAGCATTCTTGTCCCAAAAGTCCGAAAATGGTGCATGTTATGATTTGGACGAAATGAGTTGTCCTTTCAGACCTTAGAAGAGGTTCTAAGTGATAAAAATGGTGTCCTAATAACTAGATTTGTCTCATGCATGAAGTAGGAGGTCTTAATGGGTTAAGACCATGTGTTAAGAACTTTCTGGACGTCCAAAGTGATAAAGTTCGAGACTTTATAGTCCTATGGCACATTTGGTCAATGGATCTGGAGTTTGGGCTTAAGTTCTTAAGCCATTAAGCACTTATTAGGGTTTTGGTGAAACCCCGCGTACGCCCAGCGTAATTCCTGTACGCCTAGCGTACGGGGTCAACCACCCCGATGGTGGTCAACATAGTATGCCCCGCGTACGTCTTTTGTTGGGCTTTTGACATTTAGGCTTCGGTTTTGGGCCACTTTTAGACTATTTGGACTTGGGCCTTGTTGTGCCCTGAATATTTGAAGTTGGGTTAGTTTTGATAAGGGGTGCTATGGTAAGGCCCAATTAGGAAGTTAGGTCTAATTGGGAATATTGGGTTATTAATGGGCTTATATATATGGACTCTGGGTAGTGGATTGATATTGGGCCTTGGGCCCAAATTAGAGAATGGACAATATGGACCCTTTGGTAATTTTGAGATCCCACTTATTAATTTGGCATTCGTCATTTTAGTTAGTCGAGGTTGTCGGTGAGGTAGTGATTGGAGACTCTCAGTTCAGTTCTGCACTACTTGCTAGGTGAGTTATTCTCACTATATTAACAGGGTCTAAGGCACCAATGCCAGCCCTTCGGATTGTATCCTAGTTTATTGCATGCTATTCTTATGGATTATCACTCTGGTAGTTAGGATGATAGTATGTTCAGTGGCTTGTATGTTGGTATCCTGGTTATAGGTTGTTCCAATGCTACTTTAAATATTAATACTGTTGATTGATATATTTATATGCTAGCATATGTTACTTATGTACACATGATTGTTTGTCTGGTGGTTGGGTTGACGCGGTCGTGCTTTGTGTTGTAGGCCAACATACTCGGGGCGGTCCGGATAGGCTGTAGGCCTTGTGAGGCGGTCCAGTCATGTTGAAGGCCTGTCGAGCGATCTGGATAAGCTGTAGTCCCTGTGAAGCGGTCTAGTCATGTCGAAGGCTCGGGAGCGGTCCAGATAGGCTGTAGGCCCTGCGATGTGGTCCAGTCATGCTGAAGGTTCATTATGCATATTGTTTGTTATTATTTTGTTTGGGTTGCATATGTTGGTATTTTGGGGGTAACTCACTAAACCTTCGAGCTTACATTTATTGATTATTGTTTTAGGTACTTCAAGTGACCATGGAAAGGCGATGGCGTGACGTACACTTCCTCACATTTTATGACTTGGGATTTCTTGGAACTCTGATATGAAACTATTTTGGAAACAATTTGTGAACTATGTTGGTGTTTGAATAATTTTATTTACTCGGATTGGTTTTGAAAAGTTTAAATTTTTGGTAAATTTTTTGTGGCTGTTACAATTATTGGTATCCACTTTAAGTTATTTGTGATATATTATAGGGTATGCTCACTTTAAATTATTGATATCGACTTTAATATATTTAGCTAACCTTTCTTTTTCTTGTATACACAGGGTACATAATATGAGAAGTTTTGGAGACGATCGTACATATCCTCCTCCAAAAGGGTTGGGAGCCGGTCGTGGAGGGGGTATTGATAAGGGTGGAAAAAAGCCATTAGTTACAGTGGAGACGGACATGGAGTGGGTGTTAATAAAGGTGGAAAAAAATATGTTAGTTACAGTGGAGATAGAGGAGACATGAGAGATGATAGTAATTATGTAGTTGGCATGGGAGGCATGAGAGATGGTAGTGACAGAGGAGGCATGAGAGATGGTAGTAATAGAGGAGGCATGAGAGATGGTAAAGGAATCAGAGATGAGTTATGTTGGCAGTGGCACATTTCATAACCCACATAGACCGGATACCATCTACGACCAGGAGGACTTCACTTCTGATGGGGATAGTGGGGGGGGGGGGGAATATTGTTAGGCATGGGTCCAATATCCTACGTTCGCCTCCTACTCATCCTTCTGAGAGGATATGGATCACACGACTCGGGCGATGGTATGTTTTTTCTTATTGAAATTTATGTTGATTATTGATATTATAAATATACTAATTTGGTTAATTTGATATTATAGGTTTCATGATGAATTTGTGCATCGCTAGATCGCAAGTATAATGAAAGAGTTTATGGATGATGCTTGTCCTACATGGAAAAAGGTCATGCTGGATGTTCAGAAGAATATGTTTAATGCTTTTCGGGTAATGTATTAATAATAATTTATAATTTATCTTTGTTTGTTTTAAATATGATTATTTAACTTTACACTTTACTTGTTACAGGGGATTTATCAGTGGCCTGAGTCGGAGGAGGATAAAATCTTCGAAGGCTTCAAAAACATCTTGGACCATCGATATATAGACATTATTAATGGTGCTAGAAAGGCATATGCATTTGCAGCCAAAAAGGCTGGTCATGTCTTCCCACCAAAGGAGACTTATGACTTCTCAGTGATGTATGATTTTCCGACTACTTGGATCACATTTGACGTATGGCAGGCTCTGTGCACGTTAAAGTGATAAAATAGAATAAATTTCTTATAATAACGATGGCTTTCTATTTTATCATAAAATAACTTGTATTTATTACTACACATATATGGGACACTGATACTTGGAGAAATATATCCGAGAGCGGAAAGAGACATTGTAGCAATAGTGTTAATGGTTCCATCTTGGTACATACGGGTGGATCGATTACAACAGAACAACACCGCAAGAAGATGGTAAATGAATCTTGTTTATAAATTTTAGTAATTTGTTTTTAATTTAGCATAAATTAAAACTATGTTTTTTTTTTGTAGAAGAAGCCAAGAAGATGGAAAGAACCTGTGTGGGGAGACGTTTTCAAGCAGACTCACCTTGAAAAGAGTGCAAAGGTGAAGTTAGCATCTAGAGAGTTGATTGGGAGCCAACTTGAGCATTGGGTTAATGAGAAGTCTTGGACCGTCTTTGTAAGTTATCTTTATCCTTTTAAGATTTAAGATTTGATGTATTTAATTATTTTTCAAGTGTTTAGCGTAGAAACAATTTTTATGTTTTGGTAAATTGTAGGACAAATATGAGAAGACAATGTGTGAGAAATATGGTCCCGACCCTAGTCAACATCCGTTGGGTGATGTTGAAATATGGGGGCATTGTGTTGGCAGGAGAAAGAAGGGGAGATTTTACGGGGTAGGATCATCAGGTCCGGGTAACGTCGTGCCGGGGACACCTTACGAGTGTGGGTCATCATCCTATGTTTATGCCTTATATCAAAAGAAGGTATGTGTCAATGTTATGATAAAAATAGTAAAGTATGTTGCTATTTCCTTCTCTATTTTATACTAATCATATGTTTGTTGGACCATATTTTAGATAAATGAATTAGAGAGCATGTTGGAACGAGAAGTGAAGAAACGGGAGGAAATAGAAGCCAATTTTGATAGTGAGGTGAAGTTACGAAAGGACATGGAAAACCGTCTTCTTGGAAAAATGAATGATCTTTTGAAGAAATTCACCCGAAGATAAAAGGTAATATATGATGGCATTTATGGTAACTGACAATATATAAACATCTCTCTAGCTAACAACTCCTAATGATAGGTGTGGAATCTACGAGAAAGAATTCTCTATTGGTTGTTGATAATATTTGACAATATGGATTGAAATGGTATTTGATAATATGGAGTTATAGATTTAATGTATGTCAAATGTTTGAAATTTATGGATTTACTTTTATATTTGGTGGTTTTAAAATATAGATTTAATTTATGTTTAAAAAATTTGTGTTGAATATGTAATTATTTATAGTTTTTAATTTCTTCATTAATTTATAAATTTTTTTATAATGCCAAAATTCGTCGCTAATCTGTTTCCAAAAAAGTTTGTAGTCATTTCGGGGTTTTGTCGATAATCTGTTAGTAAGTTATTCTAAATTCCGTCGGTAATCCATTAGTAAGTTATTTCGTATTCCGTTGGTAATCCGTTAGTAATTTTTTCCGTTGGTAATCCGTTGCAAACAAATTCCGTCGGTAATCCGTTGCAAAATATATTCTATCTGTTGGTGATCCGTTACTATTTCCGACGGAAAATCCGTCACTAAAAATTAGCCAGAGCCGTTGGAAATCCGTTACAAACAATTAGCGACAAAAATATAGCGATGGATTTTGGTGTGTTACAATTCCATCGGTAAATAGCTTTAGCGACAGATTACCGATGGTTTTGGCCATCGGTAATGCTCTTTTTTTATAGTAGTGAATGACAATGTTAACATATTTACATTTCAACAATAAAAAAATTGTTTTCACTTTTTGATAAATTTTGTTTTATGTATGAAACTGTACATCTGATTTTTTTCCTCCTTATCTAATCAATTTTAACCCAATTAGATATTATTAAAATAATTTTCTGAGCATAAAAATAATATAAAGACATATATAATTAATTCTATTATTAAATATATCATAGATTAGATTTTATAAATCGATTAAAATATCTTTTCTAAAATAAAAATAGACTGAAAAGATGAATTTTTTTATCACAAAAGTTGTATTCAATAATTTTATTTTGTACCAACTAATAATCACTATTTGATATTTAAAATTTTGATTTTGATTTAAACTCATGAGCGTACAGTATACAATATTTTTTAAACTTTTACATTATTTCATTAGTTTTCAATAAAAGTTCTCCAAAACATATTTTAGAGCTTATATTATATTAAAAGTTTTACGAATCAATTTGATTGGTTTTGAAATTTAGGAGGTTCACCAAATGCCTTTATTTGCCAGTTATCCCTCATATTTGTCTTCATATTATTCTGATAATTGTCCTTACTGTCTTTTATACCAAAACCTGTCATCTATAACTTCAACCTTCTTCATGCATAAACATATATGTATATATATATATATATATAAACACACACATATACACATGTACATTCACCCAACACCCTCAATCCTCATAACATTAAACCTTAAGTAAACAGTTAACGAATCACAATGGATACCCTCCTGCTAGTTTCTTCCATAGTTTTACCGATCATCACCATCTTCTTTCTGCACCATTTTCTGAGCCAAAAATCAACCATCCCTGGAAACTATGGATGGCCTCTCATAGGAGAAAGCATAGATTACTTCAAGAAGCTCCGCAGTGGCACCAACGAGAAGTTTGTCATGCAGCGAAGAAAACTATTCGGCGACGTTTTCAAGACGTCAATCCTCGGCGAGAAAATGGCGTTCTTGTGTGGCCCAGAAGGCAACAAGTTCCTGTTCTCAAACGAAAACAAGCTCGTTGAAGTATGGTGGCCGAGCTCCGTCGAGAGTATCATCAAGAAATCAAATAACAAGTCTGTCACGGCGGAATCCGCCAAAGTCCGGCAACTGTTGCCGCCGTTCTTGAGAGCTCATGCGGTTAAAAACTACATCTCCGATATGGATTCTGAACTGAGACAGCATTTGGCGGATTACTGGACTGGACGTGATGAGGTTGAGGTTTGCCCATTTGTTGCCAAGTACACATTTGCATTGGCTGTGAAGTTGCTGTTAGGTGTCCATGACGCGACGGAGTTGGAGAAGCTTGCGACGCCGTTTGTGGAGGCAGCCGGTGGAATTATAGCGGTTCCGATTAACATCCCAGGAACAAGGTTTAACCGTGGAGTTAAAGCGTCGAACAGGATCCGAGAAGTGATTATGGGCATAATTGCGCAAAGAAGGAAAGACCTTGCTGATGGGACTGCTACTCCGATGCAAGATTTGCTTTCGCATATGATTGTTGAAGTTGACAAACGGAACCAAGACTCCGGCAATGCTCCAACCACTGACGGTGACATGTCCAGTGACTTATTAGGGTTGCTCATCGGTGGCTATGACACTATCAATACCACCGTCGTTTTCATCATGATGACTCTAGTCGATCACCCCGACGTGTACCAAGGAGTTCTAAAAGGTATAATTAACACCAACATCAATTTAAGATATCCCAATATTACATTTTTAAAAAAAAATTATAAGTTATAACAGAAAAAATATATACAATTTACTGTTTTAGTAATAAGGAATATAATTTGTTTCTATCCATTTAACAAGCTAATTATATATTTTGTATGTGATTATATTTCTTTCTCTATGCTAACAATATATATTTATCTATTACCTATAATTACATCATAGTTATTTTTCTACCATATTATTACATTTGGTTACCAATATGACAATGTATTTTATTAGTTACTATTGTTATTATTGACAAAGAATATATATATATATATATATATATATATATATATATATATATATATATATATATATATATATTACTCTTATTGGAAAAGAAATATGTAACTAAGTGGCTAAAATGTGTAAAAAGTAAAGTGAACAACATATATGGGTAAAAGAGTAAAAGTGTGTTGTATATATTGGTAAAAAGAAAGTAAATGTGTTGCACTTTATTTTAATTTTTTTAAATGGTCAAGAAACTGATATATTGTTATTACATTTATAATTGTAAAAAGAACAAATGGACATTGCAAGGGAAAAATCACCTGGTCAACTGTTGGATTGGGATGATCTACGTAAGATGAAATACTCATGGAATGTCGCATGTGAAGTGCTACGAATGTGTCCACCAACTGTTGGTGCTTTTAGAGTTGCGAAAACGGATTTCACCTATGCTGGTTTCAAAATCCCCAAAGGATGGAAAGTAAGCTATCTTTTAAGCCCTCATTAACATTTAACTATGTCATTGACTTTGAATATATAGCCTAAACTCATCGAGTGAGGGCATGCTAATATATCATATCATCTAGACACAATCTCATTTATTTCAATATATGTTGTAGTCTATCCTTTCTTCTTATGAGCTCTTTTCGGAAAGAAAATCACTACTTCATCTATCTAATTAAAAAAGTCGATAACTTTACCTAACACATACCTTTTAATTTGTAGTTACATTACCTCCCACATTACACTCAGAAAAACCATGAGTTTTTCCCTAATCCTGAAAAGTTTGATCCCTCGAGATTTGAAGGAGCGGGACCTGCACCTTACACGTTTGTGCCATTTGGAGGAGGTGCAAGGATGTGTCCTGGAAATGAGTATGCGAGGGCAGAAATATTGGTATTTATGTACAATATAATAACGAGATACAACTGGGTGAGGCTAATTCCTGATGAAAAGGTGGTAATAGATCCACTTCCAAGGCCAGTTCATGGACTTCCGATCAAGCTCATTCCTCATGAAACCATATCTTAAGTTTTTATGCCATCTTTTCACTATAAGAGTACTCTCTTTGGGGTTTAATGGTATTTGATAATTGTACTTTTATTTTTGTTGGTGTTACGAAAGAAAATGAATGATAAGAGGAAATAAATATGGTTTGATGTATTTTAAGTCTAGTATGATGCATGTACAAGTTTATATAAAATATTAGAATTTTACTGATGTGATATAAACTTGAATTATATTAAAAGACACTGGCTTTTACCATAAGATTATTTACAACGTCTGCATTAATTTTAACTAACGTGATTTGAACTTGAGTTTTATTAAAAGATAGTAGGTTTACCATTAGGCTATTTCCAACACATGCACTAAAACACCAAAATAGTGTAAAAATACTCAAAAAAATGATCTCCAATAAATATAAGAAAACTCTATACTAAAATAGTTTACGAAGAATATCTAGAGGTGGCAAAAATTGACACGATACGAAACCCGACACGAACCCGACACGAAATAAACGGGTTTGGGTAAGATATTTCAACCCGTTTAAATAAATGGGTTGACACGATACGACACGAAAATTAAACGAGTAAGGTTAGGGTTGAGAATTTCAACTCGAATATGACTCGAAAATGACCCGTTTATTTATATGCAAGTTTTTTGAATTATTTAAATAAACTAGAAAGATATAAAACCAAAACCATAAGTAAAAGAAAACCTTCGAATTGAGTCGTTTTGTAATGTTGAAATGACTTAGCCGTCTAGATCAAGATTTAATTTCAGTTTTTCCATTCTCTCCCAAACTACCCAGTCTCTTTCACCACTCTCACATCCTCGCGACCTTTTCATCCGCCTCCCCAACTCCCATTCTTTTAATTTTGGCATCTAAACTTGCTATGACTTCATCTATTCTGCCTCCAAACTATTAGTTTTTCCTTTCCGCCTACCCAACTCCTACTCTTTTAACATGCTCAATCTTTTAACCTCACATGACACGACATATTTCAAGTTATAGCCCTAACCCGAAACCCGACACGAACTCGACACGAAAATAAACGGGTTGACACGACACGACACGTTAATTAAATGGGTCGGGTTAGGGTCAAACACTTTCAACCCGTTTAGAGTGTTTGACACGACACGAACCCGACACGATACGACACGATTGCCACCTCTAAGAATATCTAGTTAAGTTACACTAATTTGATGTGACACATTGGTTATACTATAAATGGAAATTAACTAAGCCACCAAATTTTATGACTATTTACAAAAAATAACTATTTTTTCTAATGCAAAATGACCACTGTGCCTAACCCATTTCACATCGTATTCCGGACTGAATGACAACTACTTAAAGAATTCCAATTAGATGCACCAAGCCTAAAAGCTATAAATTCCTCACACTGCACATGACAAGGAAATCATATCAATTGGATTTTGTTAATGAAGCCTAAGTAACTAACTCGGTGAAATGTGGTTATTTTGAATAAGTGAGTTAATGGTGTTGATTTGGAGTTATACCGGGTTGTTGTATTAAGAAATAAAAATGGTTCTTGCTGAGTTGATATCCAAGGTTTGAATTTTGGATCTGATTCTTCTAGAAGTTCGAGCTTCAACTTCAGGAGATCCAAAGAAGAGAATCAAAGAAAAAAAACATAAGAGAAAGAGTAACATAGTTCTTGTTGCCATTTAGATCAATATTGATTAACGCTAAACCACCAGCTAGGTTTAAACCTAATATGTAGATACTTGTTGAAAAACCACATGGACTATTCTACATTGACGATGATGGTAAGTGTTAGGGGTAGGATCCTTGACTCATATTCAGGATCCTCAAATACTTTTGAAGCTTCAGATCCTTAAACATATCTCGAAATCCTGACTATTACTATTAATATTTCTAACATTTATAACGTCTATATTTTCTTTATTTTTCTCATATGTGCCGAATGAGTCAACACAAGACCTATTCTCAACGGAGAGTCATCTCAACCAGGCAAAAAACTCAGAATACCAAGATAAATAATGTTCATATGCTGATTCTTGAGGAATCTGGAATTATCGGATTTCTTATTATTAGCATTAGACTATAAATAGTACATGTAACTAGTATACTAGCGAGAGATTTAGCTCATATACGACAGTTGTACTTGCATTCATACATTTATCTTTGTGTTCAACATTCTATATCAATAAAATCATCAAGGCAGGTGATCATTATCACCTCCCAAGGTTCTATGTCAATGATCTTATTAAGGATTAAAGGCTTTCCTTATAACTCACTTGTGTTAATTTGATTGTCATTTCTTACTTAATTTACCATGAATATCATAACCTCTCATACAAATTGGTCAGATTCTTCTTAATTGATTTTTGACCAAAATAATTTGGCGCTCGCTGTGGGGCCATGGTGTTCAAAACCTTTTGGAAAATCATGTCTACACAACCGACCATATATTCCTCCTCCATTCCTATAATTTCCTCTAAAAACCTTCCTCCACCCCAAGGGGGAGCTCCTAAGAAAGCCCTGAGGCACTGAAGAAAAACACATTTTCGTCGTTACCTAAGGACTTCAGGATCCTCCTGTACTCATTTCCAATAATGAAATCTTTGCTATGTTAAAGAGATTGGAATGATAAGTCACTCAACAATAGGAGGATAACTAGGCAATACTCGAGGAAGGGGAAATAATGAGGGTAGAAATCCACAACCCTCAAGAAGCAGCACCCTCAATCTTGCAACCCAAGATCCTAAACTTTGATAACAGGGGATCCTCAGTGAATCGGCGCTAGATAGGATCCTAAATACCAACCTTTGTTTCCACTTGGGGCACAACTCTAAGAGAGAAAGACTATATGATGCAAGATCCCAACAAAACCTTCATTACTCCTAATAACAAGGAACTTGGTAACTTCGTCAATAATAATATCTTTACTACTAACATATGTGGACCTTGATACATATTTAAGTCCGATCATGGCTAAGGAGCTTCAACAATTAAGACAACTGATCTCAAGCGTTCTTAGAATAATCCAACTTATATTAGAAGTATCACCCACAAGCCATAGGATCTCAAGAGTTGCTTCCGTAATAGCTTATATCGAAGTCCCAAAACGCTTCCAAACACCCAACATGAAGCCTTATGATGGGACCAAGGAGCATGTCGCATAGTATAGGGAAAGTTCCCACACACTTGAAGGAAGCTTTCCTATGCAAGGCTTTGGTTCGACCCTGATAGGATCAACGTTAAAATGGCTTCTTAATGTTCCTCCTTACTATATTACTTAATTTACTCACTTACTTGATTTGTTTAACATTAATTTTCTTGTAGCAAAACATTCGAAAAGATTACTAGTGATATTTATCGAGTGGTTTAGGATCCTAAGGAATCCCTTAGGACTTTTGTGAACAGGTTTGGCAGGGAAGCTCTGAGTATCCCTAACATTGATATGGCGATTGCAGTTGGAGCCTTTAAAATGGGTTTAAAAAGTACTCTCCTTTCTACGAAGACCTTGTAATGACCCAATGCAAGAGAATTGACGAGGTTCGAAGCAGACCATTAAGATTCATAAGGCTTGAAGAAGACAAGGAGATCCAAAAAAGGAGAAACCCACCAAGCTCATATGATCAACCTACTAGGAAGGTGAACACATCGACAGAAATATCCTACAAGTCAAAACCATATTCTAAAACTGATCATCATAGGGTTAATGCCCTTGATGGTGAAAGAGAGGAAGAAGAATTTCCTAAGATTATTGACTATGGATTTTTTGTGGATATTTCATATATACTATTTGCTATGCAAGATCTTGGCGACAAAGAAAGATGGCTAAGGAAGGGAGAAAAATCCATAACATGGAAAGACAAATCCAAATAGTGTGCATACCATGAAGACTTTGGTCATGTCACAGAGGATTGCATAGGTGTCAGGAAGGATCAACTACCACTTAGGCAAGGGATACCTCAAAGAAATCCTCGATAAGCTAAGATCCCCTCATGCTGACACCAAGGTAATCAATGTGACCTCTAGAGGATCTGACATTTGTGGTACATCTTATTTTACAGCAAAAAGGCATGCCAAACTGTACAAAACAACAAAAGAAGAAAGGCATCAAAAGAATACGTAAATCACAAATGAGAAGGAGATCGCCTTCGATGAAGCAGATAGAGAAGACATCCAGGATCCCCGCCACAATGGATTGGTGATAACTATTTACATCGCCAACCATTTTGTCAGAAGGATCCTTGTCGATGGAGGATCCTCAGTCAAAATTATACTCTTGGATGCTTTAAAAGGAAAGAACATCCCGGAGTCCGAAATAATCAAAAGATCATTAGTATTAATAGGATTCAGTGACGAAACAAAATATACAATCAGTGAAATAAACCTACCTATCTACATTGAGGGGGTAAACTCTATGCAACGTTTTTTATGTAATAGATACATTATCCTCTTATAATGTTATACTAACTAGACCATGGATCCACGAAATGAAGGTATTCCCATCGACATATCATCAATGTGTAAAGATGCCCACCCCATGGGGGACAGTGAAGATCACAGGTGGCCAACAAGAATCCAAAGAGTGTCATAATACCTTGATGAAATCTCCAACAATATCACGACAAGCATAGAAATTAAAGCAGGGGGCACAAGATGTGCTAGGAATAAGTGAGTAAGATGTAAAGGAAGTGCCCTTGAACCTTGAGGATCCTGATGCCAAAGTTCTCATAGGATCCTCAATACCAGAACCAATTGAACAAGAACTAATAAAGTTCCTTAAAGCTAGAAGCAAGACATTTGCATGGAAGCAAGAAGGAATGACAGATATAGACAACAATATAGTAATCCATAAACTTAATATTAATCCTCTTTTCAGACAAATAAACCAATAAAGAACGAAGTTGTAACATCCGTATTTGCAGGTATATTATCTTTAATTATTATTGCTATTACTTTTAAAGATCATTAATCTACTCAATGAGTTGGCGCTAAGACTCTTCAAGTAGAAGCGGGCAGGATACGTGAGTTTAATGATCTACTCGGCGAGTCCGGGAGTAGACTCGCCAAGTAAGCGCTGGAATGAGAGACCCTAATTTTCTAGGCTTGTTTCCTATTTAAAGGCGCTTAAGGCCTCCTATTGCGGCTACCCTTCAGGAGAGAAAACCCTTAACGAGTCT